GTGGTATGACATGAAACTTAACCCGGCCAAGTGCTCATTTGGTGTAAAAGCGGGGAAATTCTTGGGCTATATGGTGACGAAGCGGGGAATAGAGGTAAACCCTGAGAAGGTGAGAGCGGTGATCGAGATGAAACCACCTACTAATGTGAAGGAGGTCCAAATACTGACTGATCGAATAGCGGGCTTAAGCAGATTCATCTCTAAAGTGGCTGAGAAGAGTAGTCCTCTGTTCAAAACATTAAAGAAAAGCCGAAATTTCAGTGGACGGAGGAGGCCCAGAAAGCTTTCGAGGAGTTGCGGGAGGTGTTGGCAAATTTGCCTTTGCTGGCTAAGCCTGTACATGGGGAGGAGCTCGTGCTCTACATATCCGTGGGCGAGAATGCAGTAAGCTCGGTGTTGTTGCGCGAGGAAGGAGTAGCACAATTCCCGATATACTATGTCAGCCGAGTAATGCAGGGAGCAGAGTTGAGGTATTCTGAGATCGAGAAATGTGCACTGGCGGTGGTCGTGATGGTTCGTAAGCTGAGGCCATATTTCCTAAATCACCGAGTCAAGGTGCGAACGAACATGCCCTTGGAGCAAACTTTGGGTCGACCAGCAGTATCAGGTCGACTAGTGAAGTGGGCGGTCGAGCTGAGCGAATACTCTATCATGTATGAGCCAAGGAGGGCGATCAAAGCACAAGTTCTGGCTGATTTCATTCAAGAGGGTACGAAGGAAGAGGAGGAAATAGAGGGAGTGTGGCAATTGTTCGCAGATGGCTCAGTATCGAGAAGTGGAGCAGGCTTGGGCATATTGTTGATTTCGCCCAAGGGGGATTACTTGGAGTTTGTTGTTAAACTGGGATTTCGAATATCAAACAATGAGGCGGAGTACGAAGCGGTGATAAAGGGGTTGCAGCTGGCCCTGGTCGGAGGTGCTCGAAAAATTCAGGTCAACTCTGATTCCCAGTTGGTGGTCGGACAATTCCAAGAGGGCTTCGAGATTAAGGAGGACAGGTTGAAACGTTACGTGGATGATATGAAGAGGCTGAAGGAAGAATTTGGGTCGTTCGAATTAATACAAATACCAAGAGGGGAGAATGGTCGAGCCGATCTACTGTCTAAAATCGTCCAGAATTTGGTAGATTGCAAGAGCAGGAGTGTGACCTTGCTCCATATGGAGAAGAGCGCGGTTGAAGGTGAAGTGGCAGAGATCGAGGAGGTGGAAGACTGGAGAGCCCCGATCTTGAAAGAGTTGCGGGAAGGAACAGTAAGAGTAATGAGGAGGTTTTTCGAGCAAGGGGGAACCTTTACAAGCGGTCATATGCATGGCCACATCTGCGGTGTGTGACTAAGGAGGAAGGTCGATATGTCCTTAGAAAGGTGCACGAGGGATGTTGCAGCAATCGCAGTGATTTGTTCATTATTTAACAAATAATTTGAAGTATTATTTGAAGTATTATTTAACAAACTGATATATTATTACTTATATTATTTTAATTACACATGGGCAAAGATTAACTAATAGTTAATAACTATTAAATTATTAGTTAATAACTAATGAATAATTAGAAGTAATTAGGTAGGGTAGTCGCAGCACGCTTCAAAGGTTTGAACCAGTGCAGAGAGCAATTGATGATGCTGAGTTATGCCTTTTTCTTACGGCGATTTCTATCTTCTTCCCCAATTCGCCATGAATCAGGTAAATCCCTCTGCTGCTTTCAATCCTCGCTACTTTCTCGTTGTTTCTGTACAAAAGGAGCAGTTGCTAAATTCAATTTTAGTGAAGAAATTAAGAACATTAAAGGGTTGGATGATGCTCTTTGCCTGTATGCGAACATGTCGAGAACGAGGCCTCTACCAAGTATTGTTCAGTTTACTCAATTTCTCTCGCGTGTCGTCAATCTGAAAGAGTACTCTGCTGCTATTAACCTTTTCAAAGACATCTGCAGTTTAGGGGTTTCAGTCAATGAATACACTATGAATGTTGCTATCAACAGCTTTTGCCTTTCGGGCCGTGTCGATTACGGGTTCTCCGTTCTTGGTTGGTTCTTCAAGCGGGGATGTTCTGCGGATGAATGTACCTTCAGCACCTTACTGAAAGGCCTGTTTCGAGAGAAGAGGATAAACGAAGCACAACAGTTGCTAAGGAAGATGGTTGAAGAAGGGCTTTGTGAGATAAACATTGTAACTTGTGGTATTGTGGTCGACGGGCTTTGCAAGCTTGGTAACACCTCAATGGCCGTTGAATTCCTCAGAACAATGGAAAAAGGGACACTCAAGCCCAATGCACATATATATAACAATGTTATTGACACCTTGTGTAAGAATAGAATGATAGACCCAGCCTTGGCACTTTTCAACGAAATGCCCGAGAAGGGAATCCCGCCAGATGTCGTTACTTACAATTCTTTGATAGGTGGTTTGTGTAATTTCAGCCGTTGGGAGGAAGTAAAAAAGCTGATGAAGGAGATGGTGTTCTTGAAGATATATCCGAATGCGGTCACGTTCGTCATCTTGATTGATGCTTTATGTAAGGAAGGAATGACGGATGAAGCAGAAGATGTAATCAAAATCATGAAGCAGCAGCGTGTAATTCCAAATGTCACCTGTTACAATGCATTAATGAGCGGATATTGTCTTCAAGGGCTTATGGATGAAGCAAGGAATGTTTTTGATTCAATGGGTAGTAGCAAGAATTATACTCCTGATGTTATTAGCTATACCACATTAATCGATGGCTATTGTAGAAAGATGAAGATGGACGACGCGTTGGTTATCTTCCATGAGATGCCCCGTAAAGGGATCAAGCCTGATGTGGCTGTTTATAACACTATACTGGGGGGTTTCTTTCGTGTGGGCAATTGGCGCGTAGCTCTTGATATTTTCCATGAGATGCAAGCTGTCGGACTAAAACCTGACTTCTATACATACTGTAATATGTTGGATGGATTATGTAAGAATGGACAAGTCGAGAGGGCTTTATCATTGTTAGAAGCATTAGAGCACAAGGGACAACATCTTCATAATGAATACTATAGCATCGTCATGGATGGTTTGATCAGGTTCAATAAGCTCGATGAGGCTCGAGCTATTTTGGAAGATATGGTTTCGAAGGGGTTGGAATGTGATGTGGTGACCTACAATGTTTTGGTTAAGGGATGTTGTGAAAATGGGCTATTAGAGGAAGCTAAGGATCTTCTTTTCAAAATGGGACAATCAGGTTTGTATCCGGATGAGGTTACTTATAACACTATGGTCCGAGGGAACCTAGCAGTTGGCCGATATGATGATGCAGAAATGTTTCTTGAGGAGATGGTTGCCAAAGGATTCTTGCTAGATTTAAAAACATTTGAGATGCTACTTAGATTATTCGACTCGAAGGAAAAGAGTCCCAAAATATTTAAAATTATTCAGAAGCTGGCACCTAATAGTTTAAAACAAAAATTAGGAGCAGAGACTGCAGAATAGATTATTTGAGCACTGGTTTTTGAAAAAGGTAATATTTTTATTCATTTTTCTTGAATTATGACCGAGATAAATGATTAGTACGAGTTGTAGTGTACCATGCAGTTTGTGCTGGCTTTCTCTGTTATAGTTAATAGGACATGGATGGCAGGCATCACATTGTTGTATTGAAGTGGTTGGAAGTTGAGCCTGAACCCTTTGAACTCTAGGAATTAATACTATTTCAAAACGAAGTGTGCAGTGTACCTATTCAATTTACACACAGATGCTGAGTAGCTTCTGTAGCTGGAACAACTAACTGTTTTTATTTGAAGAACAGATTCACCAATCTATATATGAAAGGTAGATGAAATGGTTCGACACTTTTGAGTTATGCTTTAAATCAATACATAAATAGCCTTTCTATTATTTATCGTACATGAAGGTTTTTTTTTTATTAATAAAAAAAATATATATCCACTTATAAAAAAAATCCAGTATTTATTAATAAAAAACGAGATATTTATGCTAATCCCTATGAAAATTTTAATGTGAATTCATATCTGATGATGAAAAGATATCATTAAAAGAAAGAAAGAAATCCTTCTCGTTTTTACATGCCTTTACTCAACCGGTTAAGTTGTCAGTTGGTAAGAAGTTCGTGGATAAATTTATAGGAACACTGAAGTATTTTTGGTACAAAGGTTCCAATTTGTCAATGTCTCAAAGATTCAAAGCAGTGGCTTAAACAACCTGCTTTTACTCGGACTATTATCTCGATTATTTCAAGGAATGTGTCAGCAGGATTGGGCACTGGAAGGACACACTGGTTACCGCACCAAATAGTCATCTGCAAGTGCCAACCGATCTTTTAGCCAGAGCGCATGCCTCCAACCTTCAAGTAACATTTCTTTCTTTATTCTTTTTCTGCTTTTTCTGGAAACAATGAGCATAGGATATAAGGTAGCAGTTTCTCAGCCACCTACTTTTCATGCATTAGGCATGGCTAATTGTTAGTTTTTCTTTTCACATCACTATAAGTTTCATGAACCATTTTGAAGCATTCACTGATAGAATCTTGTTCATGTAAAGTTTCAACTATAGCACGAAGAATAAGTTATCATTTGCTATAGAGAGAGACATTCAAGATTAATCTGCGGGCAATAATTAAAACGTGTATAATGAGTGTGCTTTCGGCGAGCAACTGCTGAGAGAATTTGCCACAGTCATCAGACACTGAAAATTATATTCCCCTCTTGTCTAAATATGAGTTTGTTCGACAAATATGGTGTGAGCAGTGGAGTCCCTCCTGGAATAAGTCAAAGAATCTCCAATGTCGTTGCAATTATTCCAGTTTATTCCTTTTTTTTCGAGCTCTCATAATTTAAAGGTACGTTTTTCTTACACAGGTTCAACCGTACCCTTCCGTAATGAGAATCAGTTTTTGCACTTTAAACTTCGGTCAAGACCCGTATTTTACAACATACGGTTTGAATAAAGGTAAATATTGTTGAATTGATGGATCCAGTAATGTTGGCTAACTACGGATTTTATCTGTCATTTACGGTACCAATGGTAACTACTGAATCTGGTTTTACAAGGATATTAAAGTTGGTAATGGACCGAGTCCTCCTGTTGGATTTCAGGTACGAATACGAAAAGGCAACAAAATTGGTGCAAGTATTCGGCTAACTTGAAATAAAAAGAGCTAAGAGTTTGAGCTACATTGCAAATAAGGAAAAAGTCACTGCCCTCACAAATTTCTAAACACCAATCACACTCATTCTTTTTTTATTTTTTATTCTTTTTTTTCATTTTTATAGAAACAATTGTCGTCATTACATCTTGATCTCATATCTCGTGACATTTTGAATATTTCATATTTTCTTTTCACAACATTCTTTCACATCATTTTTATTATGAAGAGTAAGGAAACGGTTCTCCACAGCATTTCTTTTTCAACCGAATTTTTCCATTTTCCTTTCATGTAAAGAAAGCAACCTTGACCGGTACCTCGTATTTGTGATCATTATGTATCATATAATGAGATTTGCAATTCATTGTCCTTACATCTCTTGTTCTCCACAATTTTGTATTTTGAATTTGCATAGTTCACTCGAGAAAGGTCAGCTTTACATTCTCCAGGTCGGCTCTGGTCAGGTGAGATTCTTGTTTTTTGAGGAAATAATCCTGTTTCCTGTTCTTTATTCTCAACATCACTTTCAAGATTCATATGTTGTCTGAATTATGGAGCACTTGGACCCTGAGCATTTTCTAGTTTGTCAAACTTTTTTTTAACTGAAATTGAAATGCTTCGAAAAGGTCATCAAGGGGCTTGATGAAGGAATCCTCAGTATGAAAGTTGGAGGCAAACGGCGACTCTATGTTCCGGAACCTGTAAGAAAACATCAAATTAAAAATAAGTCTCTCCCTTTCTTTGAGCGTTTAGATACCGTAGTTAACGATGAATATTCAAGAAATAAAAAAGGTAACTAACAAATAAAAAATGCAGAATTTAATCCACACTCATCATCAGAATTTCTCTACGATGAAACTTACACACTTACATATGCACCAACGTATACGTTGTCGTGTACATACATTGTTACGAGCTGATCATTATCAAGATGTTGAATTCTTCGATTTTTTAATTTTGATTGATCAGTTGGCTTTTCCAAAAGGCCTGGCATCAGCATCAGGAAGGCCGCGTGTGGTTGCCGATACAGTCGTGTTTGATGTCAGCTTGGAGTACATTCCCGGACTTGAGGATGATGAGTAAAATATGATCTTTATTTATTAATATTATTATTGTTATTATGTCTTTCTTTCAACATTTCAAGGTTCCATTATTTCATTCTTTTAACTTTTGTTATATTTCATGTATAACTAGGAATTATTGGGACCTCTGTGTCAGTGGAGTTTAATGTCCAGTTTTTTTGTTCTCTATTATGATTTTGAGCCCTGATTCTGAATAAATACATCTTACATTGTCAGGAAAGGAAAGCAATACCACCTGCAGTTTTTTTATTTTATTTTATTTTCAAAAACGGCAACATAAACTTCATTACTCCAAGGAGAATAACTCCGCCACAAAGAGAAATGGAGAAGACTCCACCCGAGGAAATCTAAGAGACCTCCTCTCAACTGCAAACAAAGCTAAACAATAGCTAGCAGAACACAAAATAAACTGAACACTTAAAAGAACTACAACCCAACAAACCTGCTAAAGTATAAACGTCCAAACACAAAGAAAAAAACAAAGCATTACAACAAGAAACGGGGAAGTTGGACAAGGCATGAGCAACTGAAGAGAAGCATTGAAGTAGGTGAAATTACGCCATCCGTTACCTTGAGCTAGTTCTAGACTCCATCAAAGGGCATAAAATTTTGCTTCCTCGTGGGAAGTAATGAACTCCAGTGAAGCTGAAAATGAGCCCTCTTCTTTGCCATCTAACAAGAATAAACAACACGTCATTGAAGTTTCAGAAAACCAACTTTAGTACTGACAACTAGACTAAGTTGTCTTACTTTAGCTGCGCAAACCAGAAGAAAAGAAGCTTGAGAGACTAATAAAAAAGACTGTTACACCCCAACTGAACGAAGAAAATTGCAGCCAAGCCCCTCAAGCCTTCTCCACCAGCTAGAGAGACTAATTCTATCAACCATCTCCACTGTTTCCCCCCATGCAAAGATCATTTCACATTGTTCGCGGTCTTGTGGAGGCAGTCATTGTCGAGCCGCGATTGGTTGGGTCGTCGAGGTTTGTTAATCATCTTGATTGTCGGAGATCATTTACAGTCAACACGATATAAAAAAAAGTGCGAAAAAATTGATCCTAGACCCATGGATGGGTTTACTTGCTCGTCTACAAAACTAATTTACGCGATATATGGTTGCGCTTACACACACATGAACCATTCAAGCCTTAAAAATACTAACTTTGTAGAAAAACGAATTAAACCAAGTGCTCTGATACCACTTGTTGGCGTTTTACAAAAATAAACCTAAGAGCAGTGGAACAAAGTAAGAATTGAACTCTTACAGTTAGAAACTTTTGCAGACTCTGAGACAATTACACGGCCTACGGTGCCGGACGAACGGTTCTGAGATGATCTTCTCACCTTCGTCCTCCTCCCCTTTGGTCGTCTGCTCGGTCGCTGCTCGTAGGGATGACGTCTCGCTTGGTCTTGCTTGTGCATCGTCAGGCGTCACTGATCGCGACTGGACTAGTGTGCGCTCACGTGCTGCTGCGGCGTGCGTGTGCAGGTCGCGCTGGTTGCCGCTACGACTCCTTGCGGCTGAGGCTGCGGTAGTCGCAGGGGTTGCGCGGACTCATGCGGTGGTTCGTGTGGCCTCGGGTTACCTCGAGACTTCTGTCGTAGGACCTGACACGTTCTCCGTTCGTCTTTGTGGGTGACGATCTCGAAGATATCTCGATTGGGATTCCAAAACTCACGAGAATTCTCAAAGCAGTATGTTATGTGATTCTTAAGTTTTGAGTGTGTAATGCACTGTGATATAGTAGTTATATGTTTCTAACTAGTGTGTATCCCGTGCGATGTATGGAGGAGCTCATATTTCAAACCTTTTTTTAGACTTTATTTTAAATATAATTGTTTATATTTTTTACATCATCCCATTACAAAATTTAATTAAATAAAAACAATGAAAAATTATATATTATTAAATACTTCTCTTTATGCAATATATTTTATTTAATTAATATTATTGGATATTTTTATTTTGAATTTTTTTAAATCAATTAACTAATCTATGATTGTTAATGTACAGAAAGTAATGGAACGAATCCAAACTTTAAAGTAGAGCTATTTTTTTTTCTTTAACAAATCAAAACCATCCAATATTTCTTTTAAGCAATTTCATATTGCAATTTCAAAAAACTTGCTTTAGGTGGGATGAACGAAAATTTTTAAAATTGAAAACACGTTATTTAGTTTAAATAAAGATTATTAAGATATTTAAAAAGCTTGATAAATATTGTAATTAGCATGCAATAAACACAAATGTGATAAAAAAAAACGATCTCCAAAAATATAACTAATGAGAACCCTAGAGTCCAAATCATGTCCAAAACACATGAAAAAAAAACATGATTTCTCCTCACCCAACTTTTGTGCACGAAGACTATATTTATCCACAACCTAATTCAACCCAACTCATTAAAAAAAAATTATTTCTCTCTCCTCCACCTACACAATCCAACTTTTAACAATCTACATATCTTTATCCTCAACTCAACCCAGCATAAAACTATATTTATCCACAACTCAACCCAACCCAACCCAATAATAAAAAATTATTTCTCTCTTTTCCACCTACACAATCTAACTTTTAACATCTACATATCTTTATCACAAACCCAACCTAACTCAACCCAACATAATATTTATTTTATTTTTATTTATTTATTTATTAAATATTATCTACAATAACTTTTTTGTTATTGTGTTAGTTGTGATATGATAAAATAAAAGATATGATAAAATTGATAAGTTACGATTAAAAAAAAAGAGTGAAAATAGAGAAATTGCAATTATGTTTCAAAATATATCAAGAGTGGTCTCTAATTATAGAGAATAAAAAAATTCGAATTTTAATATTTTTTTATTTATTTTTTATGTAAATTAATATCAATAATTTGAGTTACAATTATCTTATTATAGAAAAATTTTATAGACCAATAAGAATGAGACACATGCACCATTCCACTCACCTCATTTCTCTCTCCCTCCTTGTGGCTAGGTTGCGACTCAGGGTCACAATTTGACAGGGTTTGCTATTTGTTTTTTATTCTTTTATTATTTTTTAGTTGGTGACCCAATAAAGATAGTCTAATATTTATTTTATTTTATTTATTTATTTAATAAATATTATCTACAATACATTTTCTGGTATTATTTTATCTACAACCTAACTTAATATAATAATTTCAATTGTGTTTCAAAACATATCAAGAGTGATCTCTATTTATAGACTATGAAAAAATACGAATTTTGATATTTTTTATTTTCTTTTTTAATATAAAATAATATCAATAATTTGAGTTATATCTTATCTTATTATATAAAATTTATAGTGGACCAATGAAAATGGGACATGTGTCCCATTCCTATTGTATGGAAGTTAGATAATATGAAATCTCCAGAAAATCTTCATGTGATCTTTTTATTTAGATTTTTGAATTTATTTTTTTTTCAAAATTTTTAAAAAAAATCACAGGCGGGATAATTCAAAATTTTTGAAAAAAAGTTACCACAAATAGTATAAAACGAAAAAATGAGCGGGAAAATGACTTACTAATTATGTATTTTTTCTTAAGTGTTTTATATAGTAATAGATAGATTTAAATAGTTTATGTTTATATTGTTCAATTTACTAATAACTAGTACAAATCCCGTACGATGCACGGGTGTGAGATAATCATTAATATTAATAAATTAAAAATGCTCGTTAAATAATATTTATAAATTAAAATTTTGTAATGTATTTTAAAATCTATGTGAATAATAAGTACAATTATAAAACCTGTATTGTTTTATTAATTAATATGGGTTTATTTTGTATAAATTATCCAAATCAACAAATTTAGGTAGTTGAAAAATTTATTAATTGTTGAGTATATTTTTGGGCATGTGGTAACCGAGCTACCCGACTCGGGTCGTTCTCAAAGGAAGGTTATTCGGAGCTTCGTTCACTACCTAGTCGTCTTAGTCACACAACCGAAAAGGTCCTAAACATTCTACTCGCAAATTGGGGATTTGAATTAAACTAAGCTAGCTACTCTACGAAATTGAAATCGAAAGCAAGTAAAGCACGCGAAAAGATGAGAGAAATCAAGGGGGAAAGAGAGATTTTGGTTTGCCGGAGTCTCTATGCTCAAACACACGCAAATAACCTAACATTGCCATGTTAGCTAAAACCCTAGGAAGCTAAACCAAACTCTAGCACAAGACGAGCAAGCATTCA